AAAAAAAACGCTCACGAAAAAAGGAGCTACTGGCTGGTACTCAATGGATCGGATGGGAACCGGTCCGAGTTGCAAAATTGCCGCCCCTAGTCGTAAGTGTCAGATTGAACACCAAGACACTAATGATTTTCAAATGTTTGAGAGATTGAGGTTTTTGAAAGAATTTTAAACTTTTAAAAGTTTAAAATGATTAAAATCCCACTGTGACAAGTAAAAATCCGGATGCAATTAGATACATCAAGAAACAAGTTGACACAACGTAACCGTGGAACTCATCTTTATCATGACTATGAGCAAAGTAACAAAGTTAAGCCCAATTAGTATCAATTAGTTGGCCCAAATTACGAGCAATGTATTCGGGCCAATAAATGATGGGCCGAATGTATAATTTATCAATCACAAATAAATATTTTTAATTTTCCAAAATTAAAGAATAACCAGTGCAGAGTGGGATGCTAAAGGTATCAAAGATTACAATTCCAATCATCACAAGCACATAATTATCTAATCTTGAGAACACAAAAAATGATTGACAAATCAAGAATCGGGTGCATTCTATATTCGAGTTATAGTATGTCTCCAATCAGAAACTTAAACATTTCTTTCTGGTTAGCGGAAAACGTGTTCTGATCAAGAAGTATATAATATAATTAGCAAATGGACTGGATCGATAGTAAAACAAATATAGAGACAATTACCAATCTGTGACGTAATGCAGATACAAATGCAATAAATCGCAACGAATGCAATATCAAAAAAATTCCACCAATCAAATTTGTTAATCGAACAAGGCAATTTAGAGAAACCTCCGTTACCAACAATTAGACAAACACCATAAAGCGTAAACCTATACTAGCAGTAGCACACATGTATGTTAATTTCAGAAAACGTGTACCGATCAAGAAGTATATAATACAATAAGCAAATGGACCGGATCGATAGTAAAACAAATACAAAGACAAATTAACAATCTGTGTGGCATAACGTAGATACCAATGCAATAAATGGCAACGAAAGGCAATTTTTAAAAAGTTCCAGCAATCAAATTCGTTAATCGAACAAGACAATTCTGAGAAACCTCCATTACAAACAATCTGACAAACACCATAAAGCGCAAACCTATACGTAGGTACAAATGCAATAATTTGCAACGAAGGCAATTTTAAAAAAGTTTCATCAATCAAATTCGATAATCGAACAACACATTTCTGAAAAACCTCCATTACCAACAATTCGACAAACACCATATAGCGTAAACCTATACGTAGATACAAATGCAATAAATCGCAACAAAGGCAAATTGAAAAAAGTTCCACCAATCAAATTCGTTAATCGAACAAGACAATTCAGAGAAACCTCTGTCACCAACAATTTGACAAACACCATAAAGCGTAAACCTATACTAGCAGTAGCAAGCACACGTAAATTTCATATAGAACTCGATGAATGCGAACACGAAGAAAATGCATCAATCAAAAGTTGGATCTATAGCAATTTAAATCACTCGAACAAAATTATGTCAAGATCACTTCAACAAAAATACGTCCAGCAATAAATATAAGTCAATATTGCAGTAAATCAAAAACAAAAAAAAAAAAAAAAAACCTAATCAAGCAGTGAGCACGACAGCGCCGCCAGCCTCCTTGATCTTCTTCTCAGCAGTCTTCGAGATGAGCTTCGCCTTCACCACGACGGGCTGACCGGCGGGCAGCAAACCCTTGCCCAAAACCTTGAAGTAACCAAACTGCGTGACGTCGATGAGCGGCGCGTTGTCCTTGGTCGCCTTGTCCTTCACCTCCTGCGGGACCATCGACCAGAGCTTGTCGACGTTGATTGTGGGGCAGAAGAACTGGTTGCGGAGCTTGTGGAAGTAACGCATACCGACCTTCCCGAAGTATCCGGGATGGTACTTGTCGAACAGGATCCGGTGGTGGTGCATACCTCCGGCGTTACCCCGACCTCCGGGATGCTTGCGGTGCTTTCCGATACGACCGTGACCGGCGCTGACGTGGCCGCGCTTCTTGCGATTCTTCCTCAGATGAGTCGTCATTTCGGAATTGGGTGGCGGAGAAGGGGATCTGCGCCGCTGGTGGGTGAAACGGAAATGAGGGCTAGGGTTTTGAGGTGTTTATATATAGGTGTCAGTGTGTGTGTTCTGAGGGTTTCGGAAATGGAATAGTATTACAATACTGCCCTTCTTATTAGTAGGCAATTATTTAGGGTAAATTACACATACACCCATTAAATATGTTAAAATAACTTGAAGGTGCATCTGATATAGGAAACTGAAACATAGTTAGAGCTTAGAAACTCTAACGGAATAGTGCATTGAATAAGTTATTTCGGTAGAGTTCTATTTTCGATATTCTAACCCAATTTTAATTGTCAGAAATTCCAACTTTTTTTAATTACAATTGTAACCATTAATTTCAGGGTAAATAACACCCAACCCCCTGTAGTTTCAAGCTTTTGCAGATGACCACCCTATTCGTAATATCAACACATAACCCCTTGTAGTTTCTGGTGGTAGTTTCCGTTAATTTATCCATCAGACTTAACCGCTGTGTCAAACTAACTCCCTTGTGGTTTCTGGCTATAGCTTCCATTAGTTTTTCCTGCGTGTGTCAAACTTCAAAGGGGTCATTGCAAAAATGACAATGAAAATGAAAGCACAAGGGGATCATCTACAAAAATATTGTTTGACATTTGAGAACGGCGGTTAAGTTTGACGAAAAAACTAACGGAAGTTACCTCATCGGGGGGTTAAGCACTATCTACCCTTACGTTTATTATGTATTTCATCTTTTAGGTAAGGAACTAAATAAATATTTACCGAGTTCATAATAATAATATTCATATAATATAACCGGAGATATGGCGATACATTTTACAAGTAGCATAACACGGCCTAAATGTTTTAAACGAAGTTAAACTAAAAGTTGCAAACATAGAAAGTCGCATTTTCTCTGAACCAGTACAAGGGGCAGAATCGTGGTTTAGTAAGGCCTTCTGCCCCCAAGAGGAATAGTGTTGGACGCAGAACGGTTCCCAAAACCTCCTCGCCCTCTCGAATGGAAGTTTCTTCCAGAAGCTGCTAGAAAAATCAAGTTTAGCACGAAGAATCAATAATGTATTTTTTATCCTAATGTAATCCAACAATTAACATAAGCAATGTTTCGTAAGCTCTTACACAGATTCGATGATTTATTGCTAACGAATGATCTGTAAATCTTACCCCTCATATTAGAACCACTTGATCGAGCCAAAGCAGCAAGTTGAGGAGGTACAGCTTGTCTTGCTTGTTGCAGTATTTTAATGAGATGCCCTGCAGATTTCACGTTCGCGTGTGTGAAAAACGTGAAAGCAGTTCCTGTGGCCCCCGCGCGACCAGTTCGCCCTATCCTGTGAACATAGTCCTCAAGACTCGATGGAAAATCGTAGTTCACCACACATTTTATGTCCTTCACATCTACAATCAATCGAAACAGAGAGAGAGAAACAAAGACAGATTTAATCATATAAAGATATATTTAGCAGAATAAATAAAAGTCGTAAATAATTTATAGCCACCTTATCCCTGCAGTCCTAAGATCCAAACACACATCTTTTTTTTTTGTTAATATATATATAAATGTCCTACCTTAATTTTGCAGGGATAAGGAGCAGCTCTCTCATCCACAATTTTCAAGAATCATTGTCCAATCAAATTTCACAATTGAGTCAACCGGCTGTCACAACTACCACCTCCCTAAGTGTGGATGGGCACTTCAGCTTCAATCTGTAGACGATTCTATATTACGAAATACCCAATTACTGCATCTAATGCTCGTCCTCGGATTATGTTGCGTCAAAGAATGAAACATTAACGACAACTTTTCAAGAATCCTATGAAAGATCATTAGCCTATAATATACTCTCAAACGCTAGCAACTTGATATATTATAGTGCAATAACTACCCTCCAAATCGATTTTGATTCGTCCAATGATACTAAAAGCCACGACACTCCTAAAACACGAACCTCGGTACCCAAACCACAAAATTCTCAGGAACATGGATAACAGCCGGATGACTTTGCCAACATGTCGTTTTCAGACCAAAAATGAGATACTAAAACCTAAACTTTAAGACTAATCCTACCAAGACCACGAGCAGCAACATCAGTAGCAATCATTATAGGACTTCTGCCACTTTTAAAATCGGCTAGGACCCAATCCCTTTCGTCCTGGCTTTTGTCACCGTGTATGGACAAAGCTGGCCATCCATCCATTCTCAGCTGTCTCGTGACTTGGTCACATCCTTTTTTTGTCTCAACAAATATCAAAATTTTACTTCCGTCCATAAAGTCTTTCAGCAATCTGATCAATCTGCAGGCGAAAGAATTATATTTATATATATATGGTAAGAAGCAAGAAACTAATAAGTAACATGGGACCAGAATTTTTGTAATATATCTTACCTATTATACTTCTCCATATCAGTCATTATTTCAACAACTTGATGTATAGATTGATTTGCTTTCAGATCCGACGACCCAATGATAACCTGTTATTGATCAAATATATTTAGCTTTTGCAAATAATTATTGTACATAAGATATACTCTAGGTGCAATCTTTTGAGGTTAAAGCACTGATACTGACCATGTTCGAGAAATAAAATAGTTGCTCAAGAGTGAAAAATGGTAGAACAAACCTTGTAAGGATTGCGCAGGAACTGTCTTGCCAAAGTTTCTACCTCCTTTGGCCATGTGGCACTCCAGTACAACGTTTGCCTATCTGGACGAATCTGCATTTTGAGAATTGTGTTAAACCTCAGAAGTTTTGCAGTTGGATCCTTTTAATTTCAATTTCAATATTCGTGTAATCTGCTTCTGAATGACTACCTGCTAATAGAATTAAATTTAGGGACAACTACTACAATTTGCAATTTGCATCTGAATTATGGTCTTTTTTGCACTTCACCTACCAAACATTTTTCACGTTGTACTTTGCAATGTCTAGTTCCGACAATTTAGACCACCAGCCAGCACTTTACCATTAGAAATTCTTTCACACATTTTCAGATATGGGGTCATGAAAATTGCCAATTCACCACAAATAAATATAGTGAAAAACAATGACGGGCAAATGACTCAGTACCTGAGAAATAATTTTCCTGATTTGGGGTTCAAATCCCATATCTAGCATGCGGTCAGCCTCATCTAACACAAGATACGTCACTCTTTTCAAGTTAGTATGTTGAGATTCTAACATATCTATCAATCTTCCAGGGGTAGCAATGACAATTTCAACTCCTGACATCAAGATAAGGTCGAAAAGCATTCCAATAATATTAGCAAAAATCATTACAGAATAAAAGGAAATATACGAAACTAAGAAAAATCCGGATCACCTCTTTTCAGATCACGAATTTGCGGTCCTTTTGGAGCACCACCATATATACAAGTACTTCTTATATTTGCATATGATCCAAATTTTGCAGCTTCTTGTTGAATCTGAACAGCCAACTCTCGGGTAGGTGCTAGCACCAATACAACCGGACCTTCACCTTGTGCTGGAGTTCATTTTATTCGTGTCAAAAGATTATATAGATTTAGTATAACAGAAATTTCATCAAGACAACAATTTCCACAAGAACTTACTCAGCCTAGGTTGAGCACTAACATGAACAAAAGCAGGCAGCAAATATGACAAAGTCTTTCCGGAACCAGTTTCAGCAATTCCTATCAGATCTCGACCCCGTAAAGCCATCGGCCATCCTTGTGATTGGATAGGAGTAGGCTCAACAAAACCCAATCTAGCAATAACCTCAAGGCAGTAATCTGCAAAACCAAATATAATCATAAGCTAACTAAGCTACAAGTCAACATCCAAAAAGCACAATGTAAAGCCCATACACGAACACATTTCCTTCTAATAAAAGATCACAAAAATACCGGGGAAATTTGCTTCATGAAACATCCGTACTGGCTTCGGTACATCTTGGCCTTCAACAGTGATCTCCCGATGTGCACGATACATCAAAACTTCTTGCTCAGTCATTGCCCTCACAGAAGGGCTCTCCACATAAAAATCCTTCTTAAACGGGATCAAGCCTCTAAAATCTGGCTTCGTGAGAGTAATATTATCCAAGTCGTCTCGACCTCCTCTCCCACCACGACCTCCACCCCGCCCACCGCCAAAACCCCCACTCCTACCTCCACCACGACCAAGATCGAAACCCCTACCACTAAAACCTCCGCCACCTCTGCCTCGGTCAGCAAAACCACCTCCATGGCCGGCCACAAACCCTCTTCCAGCACCATGCCCAATCTCATCATATCCATTAAACCCAACACCACCACCATCTCCAAACCACTCACCCCCCACCATATGAGGCGGTGCCGCCACCACAGGACCACCATAAGGAGTTGGACCACCACGGCCATAGCTGGGCCCACCACCACCACCTGATGGAATCATCATTGATGGATGCCCCATTAAATCACTACAGTATTGAAAACAATAACATCACAAAACCTTAATTGAACCAGAGTACCTTCAGTATATGTTTCAAAACCCCGTTAAATACTCAAAAAAAAAAAAGGAGATACCTTCGGCGCGGACGATAAGAGCCGGCATCGTGGAGTCTGGGATCGTTGCTTCTGAACATAATTGGACCGGATTTTGATGTAAAATTAGGGTTAGGGTTTGAAGATCTGATGGGGGAAATTAAGGAAGCTAAAAGACTAAAACGACGAGGACTTGAAGAAAGAAGAAAAATTTAGAGCAGAAGAAAACAGCAAATTAAACTGAACTTTTTAAATTTAAGTAAAATGAAATTTATACACGATCTGCTATGAAGGTGGAAGGCGGTTTTTGTGGCGCGTGTACAACACCCAATATAATAAGAAATATTTTCCATTTTACAAATTTATTTAATTTATTAATTTTTTTTTTCAAGTAATTTCATTTAGCAATGCTATTTCAAATCTTTTATTGTAATTTAATTCCCATATTTTAGTCAAATATTACGGTTTTGTAGAACCTACACTCGATGAAATACATCATGTAATTTTACACAATTGATCTACACATAATAAAACACACTATATGTATATTTTTTTTTTGAGAGTTATTTATGTAAATGTACGGTTTAAAACCACATGGTGTATTTTATTCACCAGGTGTAGAATCTCATAAGCCAAATTATTCTTATTTTGGAAAAAACAAATGGTATTAATATTTTTTTTAATTAAGTAAAAAATATGGTTGTACTGAAATTAAGTCTTAGCCTTACAAATGTTTGCTCAAGCTTATAAAAATGGGACGTGATAAATGTCGTTCGAGCTTTAACAATACCGTTACGACTTCAAACGTGATTTTGATCATTTTTAATTCCAAATTTTGCAAAACCCGAAAAATAGAATTTGTAGTATTCTGAGTTAGTTTTCTAATCCAACTTGAATCACCAAAATTGGATGTCAGACGAGAAAGATATACATGAATAAATGGATACTACCCACAACTTTGATGTATTGAGGTATCTAAAATTCAAAATGTGACTCATTCATGCATAACTTTGTCACACGGCATCCAATCTAGCGGATTTAAATTGGATTAAAAAAAAAGCTAACCCGAAAGACTACAGTTTTCGTGTTTCAAATTTTGCCAAAATCAAAATAGAAATATGCCAAAATCAGGTTCGAAGTCAAAACGACATTTAACATTTCAGTATAAAAGGGAATAAAAATACGTTATTAATTACTTTTTTGTTTGTAATTTGTTTTGTAATGATTTATTAGACAAAAAACAGTATTTTATATAGAGATTTATTATTTTTCACTGTACTAATATATTCGACCCTACAAAGATAAAAATTTCAAGAACTTGCATCTTATTCACAAATGCAATAAAAAAGTCGAAACCAAACGAAAATACGGATGTGGCCATACACACATACTTAAAAATCAAGTGTGTTTGCCTGAAAAGCAGACACATTCGAAGAAGTGCCGCTCGGAATGTCGTCGAGCGGCGGCTTGTGATTTCCGATTCGATGCATTATTTTTTGTCTTTTTGCCTTCGTATACCAAAGTAACCTCGCAATATTGTGGTGCATACTTGTGAACATATTCTCCTTTCCCTAGTCCATTTCTTGACAACCTAAGATCAACAAAACAATATAAAACCAAAACTAATTAATGAAAATATATATTCTTAAGTACAAATTAATTACTTGTAATAATTGTTGAGTTTTTTATTTACCTAGAGAGAGGTGATTGCTTAGTTCCCATGACAAGATTAGTGATATTAGCAATATGAATGAGTTCTAATATGGCTTTGCCTGTTGCATCATTGCTCTCAACTAGCATTGTGTCCACCACTACCTGCACAACGAAAAACCCGAAAAAAATTAATGGCTCTCTCTCTCTCTCTCTCTCTCTCTCTCTCTCTCTCTCTCTCTCTCTCTCTCTCTCTCTCTCTCTCTCTCTCTCTCTCTCTCTCTCTCTCTCTCTCTCTCTCTCTCTCTCTCTCTCTCTCTCTCTCTCTCTCTCTCTCTCTCTCTCTCTCTCTCTCTCTCTCTCTCTCTCTCTCTCTCTCATCGTGTTAAAGGAGACGTACCTTGGAATCATTACAAAGTCGAATATATTTCTCCAAGAGATGTTTCCTTTTGTTGCTTTCCTCCCTTAAATAAACCTGCACTTGCTCTTTGCTCAACTGGCTTCTTGATAGCCTCCCCACTGATGCCACACAAATTTTCGTTATTTAACCAAAATTACGTTTCGAATATATCGAAAAAATCGTCTCCGTTTATTCATAATCAATATATAGTTCTTATGATGTATCTGTAGTGTTGGGTATCCGCCCGGAGAAGACACAATGCACATAGCCATAGACATAATCAATTTATATAAAGCCATAACATTTAATCCAAAGCAATTGACGTCAAGTCAAACATAGAATATTCAATACCAAATGCAAGAAGTTAATATTATAATATTAATCCTAATAATATAGAATATTAAATACGACAGTAGGCGAAAACAACTGTAAGTTAATAGAAAACAGACAGAGAAGCAATCATCTTGCACAATATTTTAAGAATAAAATATTAATGCTCAATTAACCTAGAATAAAACGTGATTTAATTAATGCAGAAAAATAAATAAGGGTAAGAGACAAAACCGAGCAATTCACACAGAATTGCAAACGAAAGTTCCTCCGACGGCTGCTCCGGCGGTCGTCGATTATCCGGCTCAGTCCTCAATCTCCGAGTCCTCGTCCAAGATCCAAGTGGGGCCTCCAACACTCACGGCAGCCACACACACGTACACACACAGTGTATTCCAACGAACAAAACGAAGAAAAACGAAACCCAAATTCACACCCTAATCTCACCAGTTTATCCCTAAAGAAGTAAGCTCGAATTCATTGAAAGAATCGAGCTTTGCTTCTCAAAAAAGGTTTCTCTCTTTTCACTCTATTTTTCCCTCTCAAATACACAAAGTATTTTTCTCGACTCTATTTTTCTGTTTCTATTTTTCACGCCCTTTTTTTTTTTCGTCTCTCACGTCTCACACAGAAAAAGAAAAGGGTGCACTTATACGCCCAAATTATCTACCAAACTCACTAAGAATTAGGTAACAAATCACCAAGATTTGTTGAGAGAAAAAAGGAGCAGATTAGAAAACAAATCTGCTGGGAAAAACAAAACACCGATATAAGGAAAAAGAGGTGAAGAGAGAGAGAGAGAAAGGGAAAACCTAGTGAGATTGGGCTGACTTTTAATTTTGGGCTCAAATTTTGTGGGCTGCTCGTAAGTGGGTTGCAAGGTGGGATTTTAATGGCCATTCACAAAGAATTCATTTGGGCCACATACTCTACAAATCTCCACCTGGCCCAAATGGATCATCGGGACCCTTTTAGGAGAAACAAAGTCATCATTGCCGTATGACACTACCTGCACTCAAAACACAAAGTTAGTACAAGTTTAAAAAACAAAACACAAAGTAATGCAAAAACAAGCAAAACACAAAGTAATGCAAATAATAAGCAAAACACAAAGTAATGCAAATAACAAGCAAAACACAAAGTAATGCAAATATTCTAACACATTAGAATACATCACCACCGTCGGATATCATATTGGCTTGATCTCTATGTTGGTTTTTCTTAGGCTTGGGACAATCACTAATAAAATGACTATGGTCACCGCAATTAAAGCACCTTCTATTATTAGGATTAGCCTTCGACTTACTCCAATCTCCACCCTTTTTCGTATTTTGATAAATTTGACTAGAAGAAGCCTTGTTGTTTTGAAAACGATTAGACTGACTTCCTTTAGCAAAATTAACTTCACTAAATGATTTATCCCTATTAATTCTCAATTCAAGCTCTTTGCTTTTTAAAGCATTGATCACAGTATCTAACGTAATCTTATCTCTACCATACTTAATAGCAGACTTAACATCATTATAAATATCAGGAATAGCATTCAAGAGCACAATAGGGGTATAATCATCAATGTTCTTATCACCAGTTAATTTAATATCTTGAACTAACTTGGTAAAATCATCAATATTAGCATCAATATTTTTGCGAGAGTCCAATTTAAATCCAAAAAACTTTTCAAGCAAAAACATTTTATTGGGCAAAGAATTTTCAACATAAAGCTCTTCCAATTTATTCCATAAACTTCTAGCAGAATCATGCTTTCCTACTTTTCTAATCACAGAGTCACTTAGATTCAAGATAATAGCAGAATAAGCAAGATCATCAAGTTCTTCACGTTTAGCAACAGTTATAAAAACTTCCTCACTTAGAGAAATCGCTTTAAAACATTTTTGATGGATCAAAATACCTTTCATTTTTTGTTGCCAAATAGAAAAATCACCCTTTCCATCGAAAGGAGCTAAAGATAACATAGACATAGATCCCATATTCAAGTATCACAAAGATAGCAAAATCACCAAGATTAAATATCAGCAGGATCAACACACAAGAGAATCACAAAGATTCAATAAACTTTAGCAAAATCGAATCACAAAGATTCACAAATTTTTCAAAAAATCACACAGATAATAGAATCACAAAGATTCACAATTTTTCAAAAAATCACACAGATAATAGAATCACAAAGATTCACAATTTCAAAGCAAAATCGAATCACAAAGATTCCAATTTTTCAAATATCACAAAGATAAAGAATCACACAGATTCACACAAAATATTAGCGGAAGCAATAAACAAAGAATCACCAAGATTCACCAATACCAGGTATAATTATCACAAAGAATCAATCAACTCACCAAGAGTAGAAATTAATACCTGAGCAAAACCCCTGGACCAGGGTTTCGTACGCCGCTCCGGACGGACCCTTAACCTGGCTCTGATACCACTGTTGGGTATCCGCCCGGAGAAGACACAATGCACATAGCCATAGACATAATCAATTTATATAAAGCCATAACATTTAATCCAAAGCAATTGACGTCAAGTCAAACATAGAATATTCAATACCAAATGCAAGAAGTTAATATTATAATATTAACCCTAATAATATAGAATATTAAATACGACAGTAGGCGAAAACAACTGTAAGTTAATAGAAAACAGACAGAGAAGCAATCATCTTGCACAATATTTTAAGAATAAAATATTAATGCTCAATTAACCTAGAATAAAACGTGATTTAATTAATGCAGAAAAATAAATAAGGGTAAGAGACAAAACCGAGCAATTCACACAGAATTGCAAACGAAAGTTCCTCCGACGGCTGCTCCGGCGGTCGTCGATTATCCGGCTCAGTCCTCAATCTCCGAGTCCTCGTCCAAGATCCAAGTGGGGCCTCCAACACTCACGGCAGCCACACACACGTACACACACAGTGTATTCCAACGAACAAAACGAAGAAAAACGAAACCCAAATTCACACCCTAATCTCACCAGTTTATCCCTAAAGAAGTAAGCTCGAATTCATTGAAAGAATCGAGCTTTGCTTCTCAAAAAAGGTTTCTCTCTTTTCACTCTATTTTTCCCTCTCAAATACACAAAGTATTTTTCTCGACTCTATTTTTCTGTTTCTATTTTTCACGCCCTTTTTTTTTTTCGTCTCTCACGTCTCACACAGAAAAAGAAAAGGGTGCACTTATACGCCCAAATTATCTACCAAACTCACTAAGAATTAGGTAACAAATCACCAAGATTTGTTGAGAGAAAAAAGGAGCAGATTAGAAAACAAATCTGCTGGGAAAAACAAAACACCGATATAAGGAAAAAGAGGTGAAGAGAGAGAGAGAGAGAAAGGGAAAACCTAGTGAGATTGGGCTGACTTTTAATTTTGGGCTCAAATTTTGTGGGCTGCTCGTAAGTGGGTTGCAAGGTGGGATTTTAATGGCCATTCACAAAGAATTCATTTGGGCCACATACTCTACATGTAGAGAACTATATCAAAAAGATATAAAGAAAGAAAGAAGTAACTGTAGGGAACTGCACCTGGTGTGGCGATGTAGGTGATTGGACGAAAAACGTGCACGAGAAAAACCCGAACTTTTCCGGCGCACACGACAGCATGTTCGATAGCCCATTTAAGGACATGCAAGTCGTTCTTACCAACGCACACATACACGTCATCGTGGCTACGACTATGATCTCCACCACTGATATCTACGCTGATCTTGCTGATCTCCTCGCAAATCTCCACAATCTCCGGCGACTTTGGTGGGAAATTACGATATTGCCCCTCTTCGACAGAAGTCATCGAAAAGGTCTCCCCTTCCATAAATTGGCTTGGCCCTTTTAGACAAAGGGACTCGTAAACAAGAAGAAGAGAACAAATATGTTAAAGGGTCGTCGTTGCTTTCGAAGCCATACGAAAGATTAAAATAAATAAATATGAAATGATCAAAAAAGTTGGATTGGATTCTCTTTTGTCAATATTTTGCTGGCTTGTGAACATTTTATTTTATTTATTTATTTTTATTTTTTCTTTATGTTCTTCCACAAATGGAAATCGCCGTTGGTTGTGCCTTTGTTACTTTTGCCTAAGTCTATTCTATTTTATTAGAATATTTAAGATATTTTGCAAAAAAATAAATTGAAAATTGAAGTTTATATTTGCAAACGCTGATATCTTAAAGTCTATTTTTTAGATTTTTTTTTTTCAGATATTACGAACTTTTAGAAATAAATAATTAATTTTTTTACTTACAATCAGCAACTTCTGCTTTTACAAATGCTCGTGCAAACATTATTACCGGTGTTGGCTAGTTTCACTATAATATACTATATTTTTGTTACAATATTTGAACTTTAATATAAATAGACTTAGTTGAGGATCATCCGTAGGAGTGTAAATTAATCGAGTTGAGCCAAACACATAACAGTGCAAACTTGGATTGAGCTCGATTCGGTTATTAATCAAACCATTATTCTACAACAATTTTTGAAGTTCTATAAAAGTAAAAAGATCATGTTTTATGAAACATGGTTCTTTACACTAACGAACCGAGCTCAGACAAGCTTTTATCAATCGATTTCGAGTAATTTGATTTGATTTTTGGTATCTTACTACTTTGGATACAGAATCTACATTGAATGATTGCATATACTTCAAAAAAATATACTAAAATAATTATGAATTTGAAGCAAAAGTAATGGTCACTTTCTTGTTAGTTAACCGGCCTTTTATTGAATTTTCCAAGCACGCTTTTAAATAATGCAAATGAAAAAAGTTGAAGAAAGAGATAATGTAAGAATCTCTTTTGGCTTCTTCTTTCAATAGTCGCCACAAGTGTCTTTTTCTTCATGGCTCATGCCTATTAACCCCATTATGCCAAAGCATAACATCATAAAGAAAAATGGAAAAAAATAAAAAAAAATCAAAATTTTTTTTTGCTTGAAGATGAATCGAATCGAACACTATTTTAAGTTTTTATCCGGTTTAGAAAATCGTGTTTCAATTTTATTTTGAGCTTTATATTTTATTGAACAAAATAATCGTGCCCGGATTTCGATTTATCGGGGATAACGAACCGAGCTCAACCAAATTTTCAACTCTGTATCAGAAAGGGATTTGCTTTTTACCGTTTGAAAATTGCTATTTACCGTTCAAAGACTCTCTCTCTTTCTCTCTCTAAAAAAATTCGCTCTCAAGACGATTTCATCACAAATCATACTTATTGGTGTGATATACGAACATAAATGAGTTCATCGGATGAAGATCTGGATAGCGGACACAACGAGGTAAAAATTCCGTCTTTTCGATCGAAAAAAATGGGCTAAACGTTTAAAAGCCCAACTCGGGCGCCCGAAGGTGCAGTGCACGCCCATGTTGGGCGTGCAGTTGGCTCTTGCACGCCCAACATGGGCGTGCACTGCACCTTCGGGCGCCCGAGTTGGGCTTTTAAACGTTTAAACGTTTTTTTTTTTTTTTTTTTTTATCAATTTTTTTACGCTTTTTTCAGGACGATACGTCTACAATTGAAGTTGATCATACCGATTATTTTACAACAACTCAGTTGTTTGACTCGAAGGATGAGGTAGTGGTTTGGGCGAGGTTCGTTGCAAGAGGTCTTTTTGTGAAAATGCTAAAAAAAAGTTGTTCTAAAAAAAGGATTTTTCTGACTTGTGACCTATACGGGGAGAAACGAGAATGTCCATCAACTAACCCAAACGCGCGCCCGAGAAGGACTGGTAGCAAAAAAAGAAACTGTGGTTTTCAAATTGTCGGAAAGCTACGGTCGGACGATAGATGGGAGGTCAGAGTAGTATACGGGAAGCATAATCATTTTCCAATATATGGGAGGTCAGAGTAGTCTACCAAAGGCGTTGCGGAGTCGACGTGAAACGTGAGATATTCTAAATAGTGTTTGATTTAGTTTTGTTTTTTTTTTATTGGAATGAATGTATTACTATTGACATTGTATGTTATTATTATTATGTTATGATGTTATACTAAATGTTAGTATGTTATTATTATTATATTATGTTCTAATAATAATAATAATAATAATAATAATAATAATAATAATAATAATAATAATAATAATAATAATAATAATAATAAGGTTTTGAACAACATATTTTATTAGGGGTCCTTTCCTTTTTTCAGTCCGAATTTTTTCGTCCAATTAGACATCCTGTAAACATAAATTATATTAAATTTACTAACTTATTTTAATTCAGAAAAAAAAATATTTTATTTTAAAACAGAAAAAAAAAAAAAAAAAAAAAAATTAATCGAACGCCCGGTTTGGGCTTTTCCCGGCCGAACCGACGCCTGGACCGGGAGCCGGTTCGACCGGTGAAAAAGCCCAAACCCGGGCGTCCAAAAGCTGTTTACACGCCCAAGTCGGGCGCCGCTCGCCTGAACGGACGCCCACTTTGGGCGTCTGTTCAGGCGGCGGGCGCCCGACTTGGGCGTTCGTCCATTTTTTTCGAAAATTTTAGGGGTTTTAGAGAGATAAACACTTTTTTGTTTTGAACGGTAAATAGCACTTTTTAACCCGTAAAGAGCATTTTCTATCAGAAATCAAGTATTTGACTTTTAGTCACATAGTCAACCATCTTTTTTCACAAGAAGCAATTTGCACTCCAAAAGCACAAAATTTTAGCAGCCTTGGACAAGGCTGAAAAGCATGGGCCAAAAGTTGACAAGACTTTTGAGCAACTTGGGTGACTTCTTGTATAAAGAGTCAAAGACCTAGTCAACTTCTTTCTTCTTCTTCTTTATCTCTATTGAATGATTTTGAAGATCTTGTAAATTACAATTATAACCCCCTAAACTTCGATTTAATTACAAAACAGTCCCTCTTTTTTCAAGAAATTGCAATTACCTCCACAAGATTTCGAAAATGGTGCATTTCATGAATCAAATATACACAAAACAAATTGCCCTTGCTCATAAAAAAGAATGTTTGTTTTTGTTTTATTATAGGATGCAATATCTTACCAAAAATATCTTCATTGTTCATACAATGTAAGTTTTAGTGGAATGGTGGTGGACCAGAAAAATCCACTACAATATTGTTGGACCAATTGTCCAATGGGTGTGCAGTACATTGTGCTGATTGAAGCTGATAACTGAAGCTGCAATGAAGAAACGAAAAACGAATAAAAATAAATAAATCGTTTCGATAATAAATATATCGTCATGCACACGTCACAGTGTGCAACGGTAATACCGTGTTTTTTTTCTATCGCCATCGCCCATTATCTCAAACCACGGTCCAAATTAACATCATGCGACTAATGAATACTAAAGAATTGTAATTATAATAATTAAAAAAAAAATGCTTCTTTTTTTATGACAATAACAACCTCTGTGAAAAATGGTGGGGAATACACTAAATCAAGTGATTTTCTTGCAACTAGTAATTCTTACATGTGAATGTACTATATATATAAAGAGCATCATCTCTACTCTCTAGGGTGTATGTAGACCTGCCTTAGACTAAATTAGGATGTCTCTTCTAATACTGAAACTACTTCTGATCTCGATATTTGCCGGTTGGTTATCGATTTGGGTTCTTAAGCCGACTGAATTCTGGACACAGAAATGGAAGGCGGCAGAAGAAAAGGCGAATGCTTCTTCGATATTTCGATATAATGGTAAAAAAAATTATCGTATTGTTCAAGATTTTGTGTAATTAGAAATAATTAGAGATTTTTAAGAGTTTGCGATATATTTTACAGGTCTTGATTTTGTTGTGTACGCATTTCCGTTGATTGCTTTGGCGATAATCGGGTATATATACTTGGAACTAAAACAAACAGAGAGGATAAACAGGTAATATAATATAATATAATCCCGACAACCTCCTCGAAATTAGGACTTTTTTCGATTATGTGTGTATATATTTAGGCATGTTGTGTGTGTTTTTTGGTTATGCAGACGGGGAAGAAGAAATGCACTCACTTGTTTCTCGAGTCGAATTTACGTGAACGGTTACTTAGGTGTTCTGTCTGGAGCACAGATTCTTGCTTCGTCTCTGTTTATCGTCTTTCTCGTTTGGACATTCTACGCCCGTGTGTCTGCTGACTTCAAGAAGATGACACCTGGCAAAACATTCAAACTTAGTCCGTAAGTATATTTCTTTTTTCCGAGCTTATTGCATTTAGTACCCATGTGTTACACCGAATTGCTAAAGAAGTAAAGAACTCCTCGTGTTATAAATATTAGCAAACAAAAACGCTATGATGCATCTTTGTTACCAGACAACCCCGCCTAAATGGTGCGTTTTTAGGGAGCAGTTTGCTAATATTTATAATACGAGGGGTTTCGGACAATTGGAGTAAACACAGGGGTGCTAAATGAAATAAACCCTTATTTTTGCCCGTTGATAATCATTCTAAGGCCTCTCATTTGGGAATTAGGATAGGATTTGATGGACAATATAATCAAGATTTATGAAACATGGTGCAAGATTTATGAAACATTTCGTTTAGGTGTCAAGCCCGTGAATCGTGATTATTAAAAAGAAAAAGAAAAAAAAAATACGGCCCGTATTTTAATCAAACACATGAAGGATAATTAGTCCAAACTCAACTTCTATTATTACACAATCCTATCATACGAAATATAGTAACTATTACAATGTATAGTCACTAATACCAAACATAAGATAAATGATCATGTGTACCTGATTCTCAGATGGCAATACAAGTTCTTCAGAATGGCCACGCGATGCGGTTTATTATCGGAAGTTTGTCTAGCACTTCTTCTTCTGCCTGTCCTAAGAGGAATGTCCATATTTCGTTTACTCAAAATCGAATTCGAAGCTTCCGTAATGTACCATATTTGTCTCGGAAATGCAATGATATTTTTCGCCACCCTACACGGGGCAGGCACATTCTTCATCTGGGGTATCAAACACAGAATCCAAGACGAGGTAACCAATTTTATTACAAGATTCAATATAACCATATTTTATCGGACTTCATAACATTTTTCGTTAAAAAAAATAAAATAAAATAAAATAAAAAAAAAAATTACAGATGTGGAAGTGGCAGAAGAAAGGAAGAATATACCTCGCGGGAGAAATCGCGCTTATTACAGCGCTAATCATTTGGACGACGTCACTTCCGCAGATTCGAAGGAAATGGTTTCGGGTGTTTTATTACACGCACCACCTGTACATAGTCTTCCTCGTATTCTTCTTGTTCCATGGTGGGGACCGCCATTTTTACATAATTTTCCCGGGATTTTTTCTATTTGCTCTCGATAAACTGCTCCGTATATTACAGTCGAGAACAGAAACATGCGTTATTTCTGCTCGTGTATTCCCATGCAGAGCTGTGGAGCTGACTCTGCCCAAAGATCCGAGTAAATATAATAAATTTTAAATAGAGTTCTTGAAAAATCATATATCGAATTGTTGAAAAGTAATTAAAAATAGAAGTTTAATGTACCGTGATTGTATTGCAGGATTGAAGTATACACCGACGAGTGTGATATTTCTGAAAATACCGAGTATTTCGAGGTTTCAGTGGCATCCGTTTAGTATAACTTCTAGCTCAAGCATTGATGAGGACACTATCTCAGTCATTATAAAGAGTGAAGGTCAATGGACAAGTGCCCTCTATAACAAGATCAACAGTCAAACCGATTCGGAAACCGATCGGAAGGTGTGTATTCAAATTGCTACGGAAGGTCCATACGGGCCCGCCTCGCTGGATTTTTTAAGGTATTTCAATAAAACCAAGTCGGGAAATTGCTATAGCTAGATTAGGGGTGGTAATCGGACGGATCGAATCGGAATTAGCTCTTTCGGAAAAATTCCAATTTTTTTTTTCGGAAGTGAAAAACTACTTCCAATTCCGTTCCAAAAAGAATTTGGAAAATCGGAAATTGGAATGAAGAAACTTTATCCAAAACCGTAGTTTTTTGAATCGGAATTCCCATTTTTTTAGTCACCTATAATATAAAATACATGCAAATATTGATATTTGATCTTTAAAAAAAATCATTTTTTTTGGAAATTAAGATCGGGATCGGAATCTAATATATAATCCAATTCCGTTCCGAAAATATCAGAAAAATCAGAATCGGAATTCGGAATGACGAATACTGTTCCCAAAATCGGAAATACTCCGATCAAAATCGGCGAAATTCAAAAATTCCGTTCCAATTTCCACATGTCATCTCCACATAACACGCATTTCCTTCCTCGTTTCTTTATTCTTTATTTTTTTTTAAATTCCTTTTTCGCAGGTACGACAATCTGCTCCTTGTTGCAGGAGGAATCGGAATAACCCCATTTCTGAGTATCTTACGAGAAATAAGCTCGAATTCGAGCAATGGCAGAAACAGATATCCAAAGAGAATACAGCTTATATACACAATAAAGCAGTCACAAGACATTTGCCTGCTCGATCCAATCCTTCCTCAGCTAACGAATATCGAGACTTTTCATATAAAACTCAAAGTATTCGTCACCCGAGAAAATCAAATCGGTGCAACACTAAGAGAAGTACTCAACGAAATTCCCGAGACACGAATAACGAATTTCACCACTGCACATACAAGTTATGCAATATACGGGTCCGAAAGATTACTATGGTTGGCGGCTATTACTATGGTTTCTTCGATCAAATTTCTACTCTCGCTCGTTTTTCTCAACCATTTCATAGTTTCACCGGCGACGAAACCCTCGGCACAAAAGAGTTCATCTTCACTAGTAGATTTCCTTCTAATGTGTTCTTTCGCCATGGCTACCTTATCCAGCGCTTTAATGGCTGTTATAATAAGGTGGCGAAAGCTAAAGAACGGGCTTCGGTTATACTCCGATAAACAAAGCAGAGATATGAAACAAAGCTCAGTTGAAGCAAGTAGAGATCTCGACGAACACGAGATTCGTTTTGGAGGAAGACCAAACTTTCGAGGTAGCATTTCTTTACTACTCATTTTCGTTATCATTATTATTAAAAGAAAAATTCAGAGGGTAATTCTGCAAATATTTGGTCAAACTGAAACAGATATATTCGCTAAGTTCGCAAGTAACAGTGGGGGATCGGATATAGGGGTTTTGGTGTGTGGGCCCCAGACGATGAAAGAGTCGGTGGCTTCAGCATGCAGAGAAGCGACGGTCTTGCAAAAGAATGCTAAGGGAAAAAACCCGCATTTCTATTTTCACTCCCTAAACTTTACGCTCTAGAATACGTCGCAACGTATTTAGATCCTACTGATGTTGTGTAAGAATCTATGTGTATTCGTATGTAATGTAACGTAACATATTTCAGACAGAATTTCAAGAAAATGTCGAGTCCCTTCTCTGTTACATAAGACAACTTCGTCGTGGTTTCAAATTCGTAAGGAATTTTAGCAATTTATTCTCGAAGAGAAAAACGAAATCCATAATTTAGAGTACAACAATGGCAACGGATTTCAGAGAGGTATTCAAGTAAATCCCAAGTCCCATTCCTATTACAAGATGACGATTGTAATAAGTTGCTTCCGAGTTATAAAAGAAATGTATAACTTTATTCTCAACCAGAAAATCCACAATTTTACAGTACACAACAAATTGGCAAGATCAACGAAAAAAGAAGGCTGCCTAATCACACTCAAAACCTCATGAAAAACTATATATATACATTTTAAAAAATTCCGAAACAAGTACAAGATTCGAAGCACACAGCGATTATAAAACAACAACAAAGCTACGAAAAATCATAATAAATAAATAAAATAAATAAACACTCAAACCTCTTCTTGCAGAAAAACCCTTTCTTGTTCATTTTCACCTTCACCTCTATCAACATGCTTCGTCAATTCAGATAGCAAATCCTTCGGTGTGGGGCCCATCTCAACAACATGCTCGCCCAACAATAACGCGTTAACCTCCCTCATAGTGGGCCTACGAAGTGGGTCCGGGTGGCAACAAGACAGCCCGAGTTTCAAGACGGCCTCCATCTCCTCCACCTCGTACTCCCCTTCGAGCGGGGGGATCCGCCACCTCGTACAGCCGCCCCTCCACGTACTTCTGCCTCACCCAATCCATCAACACCTCCTCCTCCTCCCTCTCAACCGCCGTCTCCAGCGGCCGCCGCCCGCACGCCACCTCCAACACCACCACCCCAAAGCTGTACACATCACTAGCTTCCGTCGGAGAAGCCATTGTCACCACCTCGGGGGCTAAATACCCCAAAGTACCCACTACCCGAGTCGTATTCGGCACTTCTCCATGCGTATAAAGCTTTGCTAAGCCAAAATCGCCTAATCTACCGCGCATATCGGAATCGAGCAAGACATTGCTCGATTTTATGTCTCTATGGACCACCACTTGTTCCCAACCGTGGTGTAGGTAGTCCAAACCCTCCGCTACATCAGCCAAAACCTGCTTCCTCTCTTTCCATCCTATGAGCTTCTTCGGTTTATCAAATATCCACTTGTTGAGGCTACTGTTTGGCATGTAATCGTAAACGAGCAAAAGCTCGTTCCTTTTTCTGCACCACCCCTTCATTTGAACTAGGTTCTTGTGCTGTAGTCTCCCCATACTCGAAATCTCAGCCATGAATTCCCTCAACCCTTGTTTCGAATCGTGGCTAACGCACTTCACCGCCACCTCTGTGTTATTGGCTAATGTCCCTTTATAGACTTTACCGAATCCACCGAATCCGAGAAGTTCTTCGCTCGAAAACCCCTTTGTGGCCAAACTAAGCTCCTCGTAGGAGTATCGATGAGGCCAATACTCCATCTCCCAATCCTCGACGACATCATCTTCTTCCTCCATTTTCTTTCTCCTCCACCAAAACCAGTACACTAGAAACACGGCAAGAATCACCGCCAAAGCACAACCTACCGCAATGGCGGCTATGGCGGGTTGAGATAACGAAGACGAGCTTGAATTCGCTAACTCGAAAACGGGCAATCCAGTGGTGTTGATATCTCGGGCAACCCCAACATCGCTGAAACTCCATGCTAGCACTCGCTGAACTTCAACCCATTGGGTCTTAGATGCCGAAAATCCGACGAACATTTCCGACCCGATATAGTTTGAGATTTTGGGGTCTCTGTATGACAGCAGGGCTGTGGCGGGCCGGGTCATTCCAGCTGGGGCAATCGTCACGTTGATTTCGTTGTTCGGGCCGTCGAAATCGATCCAGGCGTGGATGTTCTGCCCGTTTCTCATGGCGACGGGCACAAAGGTGGAATTAGCACCGCCGGCGGTGGTGTTGTAATAACCAGCTGTTTGTGTTACCTCGGATAAGATGCTGTTCAGGTCGATGCCGACGTGGTTGCCATCCGGGTCGTTGAATTCGGTGTTCCGACCCGTGTCGAACTCGACGGCGAGAAGCGGAGCGACGGTTGTGGAGTTGGAGAAGAGGCCGAAATACTGGCCGGCGATCACGTTGGTTATGATGGTGGAGTTGGAGAGGACGAAGGCGAGGCCGAATCCGGGGCTGGTGGCGATGTCGGGGAGGATTGAGAAGACGAATTGAGTTGAAAACGACGTCGTTACGTTGGCGGAATTGGGGGTTTTGAAAGGGATTCTGGAGGGGTAAAAGGCCCGGCCGATTGAGAAGGGGTTTGTGTCGTTGGTGAACCGGACCACCGGCGGCTCGAGGAGGGCGTCGTCGGTGAGTGTGAGGTTGGCGGCGGCGGCGGCGGTGAAGGAGTTGAAGACGAAGTCGAGAGATGAAGCTGGAAGCGCTAACTGTACGAACAGGATGAACAGAACCGGAGGGAACATTTTTTTTCAAGAATTTTCAAAATAGATTTTGGGAAGTTGGTTTCATTTTCGAACAAGATCATCTGCACTTTGAATTTTCCACTGGTTTTGTTTGTTTCTTTCTCTTTCTTTAGCAATAATTTATATCAATTAATTGGATAAATTACGGTCACTCCTGATCTAAGAATAAATTATAAAAAGACCCTTGTGTTCGGGTAATTATAATTATTTTCTTCAATTAAGAATTTTCTTACACGTTCACATTTGCAGTATCAAATTTAGTGTAATCTTCTACATTATGGTGGAATATTATTCAGTTTGTATTCGTTTTACTCCATTCGAGCTCTATATTTTGAAACAAGATGATCAAAAAATGTGTTTTTTGGCTTGTAAATATCAGACTGTGGTGCATCAAAAATTGCATTTTTGCACAAAACGAGTACGAACTAGAGAACATTCCACGGAATTTAGAAGATCCTGTTGAATCTGATACCATAAGAGTGAACGTGTAAGAAGATTCATAATTAATGTGTGGTTGTAATTATCATAACATGAAAGGTTTGTTTCGTAATTTACACTAATTAATTAGCTGAAGATGGAGCTGCTGAAAAATAATTTGGCCGATTGGTGGTCAACAATTGGACTTAATTCATTTTCAATAACTTGGATCACATGGTCAGCTTATAATAAACTAGTATTATTTTGCTTGTTACTTCAATCATTAGATTAGCATCTTACATAATTACGGTTGTGCACTCTAATAGTTTTTTTTTTCCTAAATAATTAGTTATTAATTTCACTATATGTATATATAAAATTCCGCCTGTATTATTTGACATTTTCGTTGCAATATTCCATTTGGACTACTTCTGATTATATTACTATTAGACAAAAGGCCCACATAGATTTGAACTTGTGTAGATATGATAATCCGGCTGATAATGTTAATTAAGTCTTTATTTGTTTTAAAGTTCAAGTATTGTATAAACTCGGTGAGCTGCTGTCGTAAGCAGTGGTAGCTTTGGCAATAAGCTAAGTGAAACTAGCTTCGTAAGAAGTTAGGGTGCAGAGAAAAAAGGAGTCAGTGTGGAGTATAAGTTAAGATGAAGAATTGTTCTCTTATAACTCATATTCACTTGTACGAGCCAAGTGGATGTATTATCCATGTCGTCATTTGAAAAGATGAACTCCAGTTGAGTTGTGAGGTGTGAAATAGCTGTTACGTTAAATGACAAGAAGGCGGAGGCTGACATTGAAAATTTCGGGAGCAAGTTGTTTTTGAATTAGGTTTAGCTGGATATAAAAGCACTTGGAGCTCGTGGCTTGGTGGCTAAGAAATCCGGAAAGAAATCATCACGGAAATGTGTGAGATTGGGGTCAGAAAACCAACTGAGAAAAGAGAGGTAGACAACTAGTGAGTGATGATCGCAATTAGGGTTTAAATTCACAATAATTATTTAACTAATTAATCTTATTAATAAAAGGAAGGTTGTTCTGGTGAAACCCTAGGGTTTTTTTTCCCGCTCATTTTATGGCTACATTTGTCATTTAATTATTTTTTACTTTTATTATTTATTATTTCAATTTTCATTTAAACTAATTACGTATCTTTTAATGGCTACATTTGTCATTTAATTATTTTTTACTTTTATTATTTATTATTTCAATTTTCATTTAAACTAATTACGTATCTTTTAATGATATATTATTGTGTGATGATTCTTTTATACCATTTATTTATTTAATTTTTTTTTTATTTCAATTTTCATTTAAACTAATTTTAATGATATTTTAATTCTAATCTAATTACGTTTTTCAAGGAATTATCCTGATTTTCTTGCTACATTTGTCATTTAATTATTTTTTACTTTTATTATTTATTTCTTACTTTTATTATTTTATTATTTCAATTTTCATTTAAACTAATTACGTATCTTTTAATGATATATTATTGTGTGATGAATTCTTTTATACCATTTATTTATTTTATTATTTTTTTATTTCAATTTACTATAAATGATTTTTTTTCCGCTCATTGGATAGTTACAAATTATAATTGTCATTTATTTAATTAATTAGTTTATTGTTTTACTTTATTTAATATAATCAATTTTAATAAATCCGTTAAGTATCCAGAATTTTTTGCAATAAACTTACGTATCTTTTCCCGCCAAAATTGTCATTTTACTTAATATTAGTTTGATGGAAAAATTATTTAATTGTTTAGAAAAATATTTGGTTCTTATCTTATCTTATTAATAAAAGTAAAGTTGTTCTCTTATTAATAAAGGCAAGGTTGTTCCTGCTAAACACTATGAAATTTTTCCTGCTCATTTGATAGTTATAAATTATAATTGTCATTTAATTAATTAATTCGGGATATGATGAGTTTGTTCACATTATCCGATTTGTGTGATTTTATATATCTGAAGTTCTATGTATCATTTAATGTGTTCAATTTTTTATATTTTTCTCCATTCCAAAAACCCTAGGGGCAGGGGATTGTTCTACAGCCGTAAATATCATCATCATTAGTCGGAGTCATTTGGATTCAGGAAATTTGTAATTCAATAATTTGAATTCGTGTAATTGCAGATTTTTTTTACTTTCCATATATATATATA